CTGGGCACACCTGGGCACACCTGGGCACACCTGGGCACACCTGGGATACACCTGGGTACACCTGGGATACAGCTGGGATACAGCTGGGCACACCTGGGCACACCTGGGCACACCTGAGCACACCTGGGCATTTTGGGGGGGGGGTCCCAGGATGGGTTTTGGGGTGGAATTTGGGGTTTTGGGGGGATTTTTGGGATTTAGGGGCGGATTTTTGGATTTCGGGGAGGAATTTGGGTTTTTTTGGGGCGGATTTGGGGATTTTGGGGGTGGATTTTGGGGCAGATTTTGGGTTTTTTTCAGGATTTTTTGGGGGGAATTTTGGTGTTTTTTGGGTATTTTTGGGATTTCGGGGCGGATTTTGGGTTTTTTTGGGGCGGATTTGGGGATTTTTTGATGTTGGACTTGAGGGATTTTTGGCGTGGATTTTGGGGCAGATTTTGGGTTTTTTTCAGGTTTTTTTAGGGGAATTTTGGTGGGTTTTTTGGGATTTTTGGGATTTTGGGGCGGATTTTTTGATTTCAGGGCAGAATTTGGGTTTTTTTGGGGGCGGATTTGGGGATTTTTTGATGTTGGATTTGGGGGATTTTTGGCGTGGATTTTGGGGCAGATTTGGGGTTTTTTTCAGGTTTTTTTAGGGGAATTTTGGTGTTTTTTTGGGATTTTTGGGATTTCGGGGAGGATTTTTGGCTTTCGGGGCGGAATTTGGGTTTTTTTGGGGCGGATTTGGGGATTTTTTGATGTTGGATTTGGGGGATTTTTGGGGTGGATTTTGGGGCAGATTTTGGGGTTTTTTCAGGTTTTTTTAGGGGAATTTTGGTGGTTTTTTGGGATTTTTGGGATTTCGGGGAGGATTTTCGGCTTTCGGGGCAGAATTTGGGATTTTTGGGGCGGATTTGGGGATTTTGGGGCACTCACGGAGGTGTAGACGACGCCGGCGCCGTTCATGGCCACGTAACGCCCGGCCCGGGCGCCCTGCAGGGCGACGACGCGGAGCCCGACCGGGATCAGGTTGAACAGCGCTGGGGGGGGAAAATACCAGTAAAAACCAGTATGGACCAGTATAGACCAGTATGAACCAGTATGGACCAGTATGGACCAGAAAAAAACAGAAAAAAACCCAGAAAAATGGTAAAAAAAACATTAAAAACAGTATGAACCAGTATGGACCAGTATGGACCAGTATAGACCAGTATGAACCAGTACGAACCAGTATAGACCAGTATGAACCAGTATGGACCAGTATAGACCAGAAAAATGGTAAAAAAACCATAAAAAACAGTAGAAACCAGTAGAAACCAGTATGAACCAGTATGAACCAGTATGAACCAGTATAGACCAGAAAAAAATGGTAAAAAACCATTAAAAACAGTATGAACCAGTATGAACCAGTATGAACCAGTATGAACCAGTATGGACCAGAAAAAAACAGAAAAAAACCCAGAAAAATGGTAAAAAAACCATAAAAAACAGTAGAAAATAGTAGAAACCAGTAGAAACCAGTATGAACCAGTATAGACCAGTATGGACCAGTATAGACCAGTATAGACCAGGAAAAAATGGTAAAAAACCCATAGATACCAGTATAAACCAGTATAGACCAGTATAGACCAGTACAGACCAGAAAAAAACCCAGAAAAAAACCCAGAAAAAAATGGTAAAAAAACCCATAAAAACCAGTATAAACCAATAGAAACCAGTATAAACCAGTATAGCCCATCCCAAACCAGTATAAACCAGTATAAAATCAATAAAAACCAGTAAAAAAATGGTAAAAATCAGCAAAAAAATAGTAAAAAATAGTAAAAAAAAGGGATAAACTGGTCGAAACCATTCCAAACCAGCCCAAACCGGCCCA